TACATATACATATACATATACGTATACTTATATTCATATATATATATATTATATATATATATGTATACAATATATGTATATATATATATATATATATATAACTATATATATATGTATACCTTTAAATATACATATACATACATACACACATACAGACATACATATATATATATATATATATATACACACACACACACATATATATATACAATATATGTATAAAATATATATATATATATAATATATATATACATACATACATACATACATACATACATACATACAAGCATGCATACATATACATACATATATATGCACACACACATATATATATATATATATATATGACTTACATATGACATATATACACACTATCATAATACATACATACATATATATATATGTATATGTATATACACATATATATATATATATATATATACGTATATATTTACTTACATACATATATATATTTATTTATATATTTTTACAACCCTCAATTCTATTTTTATATATTCTGCACACACACATATATATATATATATATGTACATATATACATGAATATAAATATATATATATATATATGTATATATATATATTAATATATATAATCACACACACACATATATATATATATATATATATTGAAATATTGATATATTAATATATATATATATATATTGATATATATATTTATATATATTGATATATTGATATATTAATATATATATATATATATTGATATATATATTTATATATATTGATATATATGTATATATATATATATATATGGATTTATAAATACATATATATATATAAATAACATACATACATACATATATATATATATATATATAATTCTTTTATATATATGACATATAAACACACTTATCATAAATACATACATATATATATATATATATACACGTCGTTTTATATATATATATTTATATATTTTATCACGTATATATATCCATACATACATATATATATATATATACTTATATCCCTAAACTTTACTTTTTATATTTTATGCACACACGCACTTATATATATATGTATGTATATTTATTTATATATATAAATATATATACATTTATATACATATAACATACATATATATATATATATATATATATACAAATATATATAAATATATATAAATGTATATATCTATAAATATATAAATATGTATCTATATATATATATATGTATATAAATATATATATATATTCATATATTATGTATATTTCCTATACATATTTATATATATACATGTATATTTATATATATAAATATATATATATTGATATATATATTTATATACATGTATATATATATTTGTATATATATGTATAAATATATTTATTTTGATATACATATGTATATATATATATATTGTTATTTATTTTGATATATATATGGATATATATATATCTCTCTTTAAATGTATCTCTAGATATACTTATATATATCTATATATCCATATATATATATATATTAATATCTATATAAATATATTGTTACATATATTGGTAAATATTATATCTATATATATATATATATATATATAAATATACATGTACTTAAAAATATATATCTATATATTTATACGTATATATATATATCTATATATACATATATATCTATATCTATACATATATAAATATATACTTTTATAAATATATATATATATATTTGAAACATGAATATATGGAATTTCGTATATATACATTTTTGTATGTGTGTATTTAGATCTGGTTTAGTAATTGTTTGTATATTTTGGATATGCAAGTATTATTTACAACGATACACATACATACATACATATATACCTATATGAATATAGATTTCTATTTATACACACATGTATATATATATATATTCATATATATATGTATGTATATATATATTATGTACATACATATACATACGTATATACACACACACATATATATATATATATATATATATATACTATCAGTTTCTACGCAAATATTGTTATTGTCACTGATGTCTACTATATTATCGTATCTATCTATATTGTTAGTGTCAATAATGTTTGTTCGTAGTATTGTTTGTATCAGGGCACCTTCTGCCGCATTACTGGCGATCGCAATTCTCCCACTATCTATACCTCCACTCATTTTCACACCCCAGCCACATCAGGACATACTCTCTTGCCCTGGCTATATGAACTCTCCCGAGACTTATCACACCTTCATCACCGAACACTGACAGGGATACGAGGGTATGTATCAGGGAGGCGACAACATCAAGAAAATGGAATGGGCTGACGTCAACATGATTATACACAGAGGCGGTACCATCATTGGCTCTGCGCGTTGTATGAAATTCCGTGAACGCAAGGGGCGTTTACAGGCGGCGGAAAATCTGCTCAAATGCAAAATCACAAACTTGGTGTGTACTCCGGTCGTTTGCCTATTTTTGAGTACGTATTCTTCTACTATCACTACAACGATGCTCGTGTTTTCCTCGTTCTTGTTCTGGAAGGGGTTTAGGGATGCGTGTTGTGCTTCTATTTCCACGATTGCGCGGATGAGTTTTTAATACCCTCGCGAGTAGGACCCGTGACACAAGTTTCCTCAAAGAATTTCTGCGACCGTTGCTGCTATAGTGGTACACGCACGAAAGTGGTCAAACACACCCACAGACTACGAGTGTAGGGGTATGGCCAGCCACACTAGTATTGAAGCCCTATCGCTCTGGAATATTTGCCAGAGTGTTTTCAGGCACAGCCAAGCAAAGGACAGTTTATGTACGACGCACAAACTGCTATCCGTAGCGGGGCACAGCACAGAATGAACTAGACGTGCTGTTTGAACATCGTCGTTCATCTGAGATGTATAGTAATTGCACCAAATACACTAGATATCCATCATGTACACTGTCTTATTTGAGCATCGTCGTTTGTCTCAGAGATGTAAATTATAAATAGCACAGAATACAGTAGATATCCATCGTGTACACTGCCTTGTTTGAAAATCGCCGCTGATCGCAGAGAGGTATTATAAGCAGCACAGAGCCCACTAGATATTTATCTTGTATTGTTCGAACATGGCTGTTCATTTGAGGTATGGATAAACATACTTTGTATTGTTCGAACATGGTTGTTCATTTGAAGTATGGATGAACATACCTTGTATTGTTCGAACATGGTTGTTTTAGGGTTTAGTTGAGGTATGGATAAACATGAAAGTACAGGCTGAACAGCCGCGTGCAAGTTGGCGCTTTCGCTGAGGTTCACGTATTTAGTTGGACGGTTCCTCAGGGCAATCACCCGCGACGGCGGCTTTTGAATGATTGATTCTTGCAGCCTGCGATACTCATCAGTTGATATCACATGTCGCTGATACTAATACCTGTAAATGTGATGTAACATACCACAGATCGCCTGTGGAGGTGACGGTAGTTTAACCGGTGCTAATCTGTTCCGTTTAGAATGGCCGTCGCTGTTGGAAGAGCTCGTAGCTGAGGGTATGTTTTATGCAGATATGAAATGGTAAAAACATGTGTCTAAACCAGTTTCTACTTGCGACGTGTTTGTTAGTTTCTGATCACGGCATGCTTGGTTTATTCTTTGTGTATACCAGAATGGATATGCGTAAATCTACCAATGCAATACATAATCATCGATGGGCTGCTATTTGGTGCTGTATGAATCTCTTATCTAATGCTCAACCCTATTGCAAGGGTTGTCTTTGCAGCAGTTAGTGATTCTTGTCAGTCGACCTCTAGTAATTACCCACTACACTTCTCGGAGTCTGATGCCCAAGTACCTCGCACCAACATACCTACCACTTCATAGCACACCTACCATCCCATAACATACCTACAATCTTATAACATACCTGCCATTCCACAACATATCTACCATCTTATAACATGACTACCATCCCATATCATGCCTACCAACCAAGAACATACCTACCATCTTATAATATACCTGCCATCTTAATACATACCTAGCACCCATACCATACCTATCATCCAATAACATACCTACCACCCCATAACATACCTACCATCCCAGAACATACCTACCATCCTATAACATACTTACTATCTCATAACATACCATAACAGGTCGTGTAACACAGGCGCTAGCAGACGAGTGCTCGTATCTGAACCTGGTGGGTCTGGTAGGATCCATTGACAACGATATGGTGTACGAGGGTGACCTGACAATCGGTACAGACACCGCACTCAACAGAATTGTGGAGTCTATCGATGCCGTTACAACCACTGCCGCGTCCCACTTGCGTACATTCGTCATGGAGGTGTGTTGACCTGACAAGGTTGTGCTGAGTTGACACCCCGAAGCGTAAGACTGTTTGCGTACTTGATCCCGTTCATCTGCACGTTAATGTGAGTATTGATGAATACGGTATTGTAGGGGGTCGGGATTGATGTGCTTAAATCACATACGCGAATGTGTATACCCGCTGTATATCTATATCTATATGCCCAAGTGTATCTGTGTAAATAATTGGCACATTGGATCTCATCAATGCCAGTACTACCACTGCCGTGATCGTTTTGTAGCATCGTCCCTCGAGGGGTGTCTCTACAACAGTTTGCATAATTGCACAAACTGAGAATGAAGTCTCAGAAAAGTGTCATATATTCAGGTCATCCATATTCGATGGCATATAAACAGATTGTATATGTTTGCTGACATGGTATATGTCTCATACCTAATTGTTCCCTTAACTGTGCTATGCTCTATGTTTCATAGTTAATCTTTCCCCTATACTGTTCTTCTGGTACTAGGTTATGGGACGCTACTGTGGCTACCTGGCTTGGGCGGCCGGTATCGCCACCGCCGCTGATTTTGTGTTGATTCCCGAATCGCCTCCAGATGTGGACAACTGGGAGGAAGTCATGTGCTCCAAATTAGCGAAGGTGGGTGCGTAAAATCAGGAAGATCGTTTCGGTCGTAAAATTAGGAATATTGTTGTATCGTAAAATCGGATTTTTTTATATATATTTAAAATCAGGAATAATATTTTATATATGAAAGTATACACGAATAACCACGTTATTATATGCAATACGAACTGCCAGATAGTGCTCTTAGAGTAGGGCATTAGAGCATCTAGAAGGCTATCAGACGTTTTGTTTCTTTTCTGTCCTGCCACCGACCGTAATCTTCAACCTGGGAACACGTTACCTGATTCTGTGGGGTAAACCTCCGGATGGCTGGACGGTGGGTTGGGTAGTAGTTACTACTATTTCCACTCACACTGTTTTATTCTCGCATTTGATCCAACAGCGTCGTAGTAGGGGCCAGCGCCTGTGTTTGGTGATTGTCGCAGAGGGAGCCATTGACAGACACGGAAAGGAAATCTCAGCCGAGCATGTCAAGAACGTCATTGTCGAGCGCTTGCAGCATGACACTCGTATCACCATTTTAGGACATGTGCAAAGAGGCGGGCAAACCTCGGCATACGATCGCCTGATGGCCACCATCACCTCCGCTGCAGCCGTTGAGAAGGTGAATGACTCGTACATATATGTCGTGACTGTCAGTGTATGTTTACGGTTTAGGGTTTAGGGTTCTCAGGCTGGGCTTATGCATGCAGTGCACAGACGCAAAGGCACACTTATACACCCTTAAAACCCTACAAGCACCTGACCAGAGATGCGCAAGCTGCTCGTACACATGTTGACAGGCACGTTGATCAAGCTTATGCCCATGCTTGTTTGTGTGTCTGGTCGCACGCAGATGTATTTGTGTGGCTATGCTTTTACTACCAGCACGAGAACTTACCATGTGAAACCGGTGTACAACCACTGAATTCGCACATGGCGTCGTGATTACGGCTGAAAACCCGTGTCAGAATCCCTCGTACGCGAGCATTGTCATACCTACCATCACTTCCACGTGGACTAACATCGTCCTGCTTACTTTCACCGGTAGTCATACCTACCATCACTTCCAAGTGGACTAACATCGTCCTGCTTACTTTCACCGGTAGTCATACCCACCGTCACTTCCAAGTGGACTAGCATCGTCCTGATTACTTTCACCGGTAGTCATACCTACCATCACTTCCAAGTGGACTAACATCGTCCTGCTTACTTCCACCGGTATATTCAGGTGCTTGTGGCTAAGCAAGGAGACCCGGCAACCATTGTGGGGATGAAGGGTTCCAAATGCATCTTTGCCCCATTGGTCGAGACTGTCCAAGCGGTAAGTCAGGCTTGTCATTAGGGCACATCGCTATACTTTGTATTTGCTGTAAGCTATATTGTTTCTAGGAATCGGGTCTGTTATCTGTTTTGGACTATTTGTTGTACATGAACGTTTATATGGCGAGACGATCTCTTGGGAGGTAGGTATTGTGCAGCACAATGGGAAGCAGTTGGACGTTAGAGCCAATATCGGGTGTCACGTGTATAGTCTGTGGATTGATGACGCGGACCCGATTTAGTTGTTCCAAAGCAAGTTCGTAGTAGCAACTTACTGTATCAACGGGGTGAGGCGCGGTCACTATACATCTGGTTTCCAGATATAAAATAACTTGTCTACCTAGATAAGGACCGACCCTGTTTCACACCTATTTGTCCTGAGACAGGATCAATGCCCTGAGTTTCGAAATCGGGACTTATCTCAAGTTTCTGGGCCTATACCTAAGACTACGAATATTCTCAACGGTCTTCAATATTGTTACAGACACAAAAAGTGGCCGAGTTGACCATCAACCTCAACTTCGCGGGAGCTATCAAACAGCGTGGAAAGAATTTCGACCGTGACTACGCATTCCATCTGCAGATCAATGGAACGGATGTGCGTCTGGCCGATGGCGTCAAGGCGGGGGTATGTCTATATTATAATTGTATATACATATATATATATCTATATATGTATTTATGTATATATATATATATATATATATGTGTGTGTGTATATGTATATATATATATTATTATATTTGTGTGTGTGTGTGTGTTTGTATAGGTATACGTATAGATATGTAATTCTGTATGTATGTATGTATGAGTACTGTGTATATTTATATTTATGTATTTGTGTATGTATGTATGTATATATTCATGTATTCATTTGTATATGTACATGCATATGTATATGTATATGTATACGTATACTTTTATGTATATGTGTAGGTTTATATATATATATATATATACATATATCTATATCTATATCAATACATATCGATATCACATGGAGATCAAATGTATTCTTTTGTAGACTATGATGCCAATTATTTCTTAATAGTCGAAGACCATTTGTTACTCGGTCGAATAGTTCGCGCATATATTAGCGATGTTGTATGTTGTGTATATTGGCCTTCAGGTATTCGCATTTTTGGATCAATGTTCTCTTGTTCCTATCCCAAAATATATACTTTCACCAAATGTCTTCAGCATACCAATTTTCATCCTCAAATATTATCGTTGATCCATTTCTATGCTCCAAATAATATATGTGATCTATTTCCCCCCAAACAACCTTAGCAAAGTATTTATGGGTCAAGATCCTCTAACTCGGTACAAGTGTTTGCTTGATGTACTTCTGAGAGCTTTATGCTGATACTGCCTGATCTCGGTCTCTTATTGGTTCATTATCGTGAATACAGGAACACGGTGTTGGACTAGTGCACGTCGGAGCCCCAGCTGCCGGTCTCAATTCGTAAGTGTCATTAGTATTAGTAATAGATGTCGTGTGTGCTAATGCAACGAATAGATGATATCGGAGCCCCAGCTTTCGTAAGTGTCATTAGTATTAGTAATAGATGTCGTGTGTGCTAATGCAACGAATAGATTATATCGGAGCCCCAGCTGCCCGTCTCAATTCGTAAGTGTCATTAGTATTAGTAATAGATGTCGTGTGTGCTAATGCAACGAATAGATGATATCGGAGCCCCAGCTGCCCGTCTCAATTCGTAAGTGTCATTAGTATTAGTAATAGATGTTGTGTGTGCTAATGCAACGAATGGATGATATCGGAGCCCCAGCTGCCGGTCTCAATTCGTAAGTGTTATTAGTATTAGTAGTAGATGTTGTGTGTACTAATGCAACGAATGGATGATATGCGACTTCCATACCAACGATTGTTCTAACCGAACGAGTCGTAGGGGGACTCAGCCCATCTGTGAAACTGAACGTTATCTTCACGTGTGTATGTTATGCGTTTGCCGGGTGCTGTGAGGCGGCGACTGTATAGTGGAGAGTATCAGAACTTCGCCACTCACCACCAAGGCAACAACCTAACATACATTTACTGGCACATCCCTTTAGTTTAGAAACAGTGGTACTGCTTTTATTCGTACTAACCAATACGTTATCTGAGCATGAACCGGTCCATAAGCGAATGTTCCAGCTGATCCGTAGCAGTATCGAATGTCCTTGTTGATGTTGACTCATCCTTGTTCTCGCAACCCTCCGATACCCAGTGCCACACGAGCTACAACACGCTACATGCTGAATCATGGCTGGAAGGTGTTCGGAGTGTCGGATGGCTTTCAGGGGCTAGCAGAAGGGCGGTTAAAGGAACTGGGATGGATCGAAGTGGGAGGGTAAACTATTTATCTATGTATGTCTATCACGTGTTATGTATGCAGATGAGACTGGATAGTATAGAGCTGTATGGCAAATTGACCGAGGTTTGAGATTAGCGTGTGGAACAAAATTGTACGCATTGAGTCCAAACCTCAAGCTCTTTAATCACGCCATAACACATCTCATCCAACTGTGGCCTTAGTATATTAGGTAGGCACTCTGATAGCCTAAATATATTTAACCGCATACGATTCGACCAATTATATCTGCATGTGAATCACTTCGTGCCAGAATATATGTATATGTATGTATACGTATACGTATACGTATACGTATACGTATTTATATACGTATATGTATATGTATATGTATATGTATACATATATAATTTATATTTTATATATTGTATGTATGTATGTATGTATGTATGTATATATATATATATATATTATTGATATTATTATTATTATTATTTGTACATATATTCAATCTGTTTGTTGTCCATATCGCCACTACAGATGGCATATGAGCGGAGGCTCGCGTCTGGGTGTAAACCGTAAGTTGCCCAATGAGGTGGGCATTGAACAGTGCGTGGCAACCATCAAGGCCAACAACCTGAATGCGCTTTTCATCCACGGAGGTTTCGAGGCCTTCAACGCCGCAGTGCAACTCAAAGAAGCGAGGTATGTGTGTGGAGATGTGTGTGTGTGTGTTGCGCGTCTCTATCTCTCTCGGACTCTCCTTATATCCAAACGAACCGGTATATATCTATACATACCAATATATATACACACACATATATATATATATATGTGTGTGTGTGTGTGTGTGTATATATATATATATATATGTATATATATATATATGCGCTATTTTGTTATCTCCCTTTGTACCATCAGTAAGTAGCCTATTATATTTTTGTAGCACCTGCATGGTCGTGTGTTTTCTCTCCCGCCCAGTTTTAATTGTTGATCACATGCCTCTTTGTACATATACTCCACAGTACCAATATCCTTGCCACAGCGAGATGAATCCGAGCTACACATCCTTACTACTTTATATCCGTTTATTATCGTCAAGTAGTTTGAATCAATTCTCATCACACCGACGATGGTATCCAACCTCAATGAGGGTTCACCTTCCATCGCCGCTGCATAGGGCCAATTGACCTGAGTTATACCTCTGTGTTATACCTGAGCTATACCCCCACATCAGTCACATTATTTAGACCACCAGCACTCCATAGTCTTAGTCGCCGCTATAGAGAGAGACGTACCCTGAGTTGTATGCCCACGTTCTGGTGATGCACTGCACTACCAGCATCAACCAATCACTTACTATCACATCGTTGGTCCTACTAACATCTGGACATGCCTTGGTCACCGCCGCTCAGGGAGAAGCACCCGGAGTTGAACATCCCCATTCTGGTGATCCCCTGCACCATCAGTAACAACGTACCAGGAACGGACTGGTCGCTGGGCTCAGATACAGCCCTCAATGCCGTGTGCGATGCTATTGACAGGACTAAGGTCTCCGCCTCATCCTCCAAGCACAGGGTGTTTCTGGTGGAAACACAGGGTATATATGGGAGTTGACAAGCCGCACGAGTATATGGAAGCGGTCTAGTACTGTACTCAGAATAGAACGTGTGCAACGCGTACGTGCATGACAGAGTAATCACACGCACATATATCGTAGGCATGTACCTAGAGATAACACAAGGCGGTTTTCTGATAGGGGAAACAGTCTTTATACGGCAAGAGTCTAGTAAGCAGGGACGGACCCCGTCTCCTGGTACATGCCTGCCTCAGTCATTTACCCGCTCAAAGCACCAGACCTCTACATTGATCTATACTTTACTTAAACTGTCCCACTCTTCTCCGCTTATTCATCAACCTGTCCCGCCCGGGCTGGTGCAGGTGCAAACTGTGGTTTCCTGGCAGGTATGTCTGCCCTGGCCTCGGGTGCGCACAAAGCGTGGGTGCCGGAGGAGAGCTGTTGTGTAGCGGATCTTAAGACAGACATCGAAATGATTAGGAACAGAGTCAGCCGAGGGGGACAGTATTCGGTCATTGTCAAAAATGATAAGTACGTGGTCGGTGGTGTTTATCTATACGCATGCGCGATTAGCCGGGTTGTGATGTTGCGGGTGAACGAACATTTCGTAGAGAGGAATGCTATGTATATACATGCATTGTGTCACATAATCGCAGCTCAAGATTTGGCATGCCTGCGTAGCAAACCTTATAGTGCCAATCGGATCGTACCGCTACTTACTGGCGTAGACTCTTATTAACATACATGCATGAATGTTCACATGTACAAAGTTCGGTACTATTTATCTATATATATATATATATATATGTATATATATATTCCCAGAGATGAACCTTATACCTCCACCCCGCCTGTACGTACGCCATACAGATGCAATGCTTCGTACGATCTCGACTTCTTTACGTCTCTGTACTCACAAGAGGCGCAGGGCAAATTCTCTGTACGGGACTGTTCGCTGGGACACTTGTGCCAGGGCATGTACCCCTCGCCACTCGACCGCGTGAGGTCGGCCCAGTTGGCAGCCTTCGCAGTGGAAACCGTTCTGAAATCGGTAGGTGGTTTCCGGATGTGCTGTCTCTGTGTGTGGGATTTGCTGGGTGTGACTGTGGGTCTGAAGGGGATAAGACACGCACACTAGGTGCGTAGAAGTACAAACGAATGCCATTTCTGAACAGAGATAGGTATACATACATGCGCCGGTGCACAACGTTTTTCTGAACTATTGTACACACCACGTGCAAGGCCACGAGTCCGGAGACAGACCAGTGACAAGAGAACCAAGTCTATTCTAGCTAGGTTCGATCGATTGTAAACCGGTTATCTTGTGGATTTACGCTGGTATCTAAACTAATCACGAGTCGATGAGAGAGATGACTTACTAGAAACTGTAAATGAGTCTTTGTGTGACTACATTCATGCGTAGAATATAAGCATACATATCGTACTCAAGTATGTTGGTTAACTTTTTTTGTCTACACATATCTGCAAAACTATCACAGCTCAACGAGTCCGGAGACAAGCCCGTTGGGGTTGTAGGCCACCGTGACGGCAGCTGTAGGATGACATCCATTGATGAACTTTTACCAGAGGCTGACTGTGAGAAGCGTGTGTGGAAGAAGCAGTGGTTCCTGAAGTACCTACCACTGGTTGGCCTGCTGTCCGGTTATGAACTAGGAGTGGACGGCCCAAAAGTCTTGCATGACATGTTTGACATGAACGAGTAGATGTTACTAGTAGATGTTAATAGTAGATGTTAAAAGTGTGTTAGTGCGTCCAAATACCTTCTGCGGAATTGTATATGATTCTTCCGGGGTATGGTATGGATTGAATTGGTGCAGGTATCGTTAAGCATCTGGGATAGAATAAAGTTATGGACCTATCACTGCACGTGTGTACTTGATAAGAAAGATAGCAATCTATTTGAAGAAATCGTTCACAATTAGATCGCGGACTCGATTCTTCAACTTATGGCGCAGGCACACTTCATAAGAATTGGATGCATTTCCCTGCTAAAACTCGACAAGCACCCATGTGCAATATTGTTTATATTTATATGAATTTTGCGAAGTTACATTAGCTAGAATTACTTAAATTCAAACAATGCGACAGTCACAATTGAATTTTGTGGCAAAATGTTTGAAGGCATTGATATTCTCGCACAGTATGTGAGCCGAGTTTGGTTGCATCTGCAAAACTCGCAAGCAGCCACCCCCCCCCCCCCTTTTTTTTTGGCAACAATGATTGAGTCCTATTCGGATCAGGACTATACTGGAGATACCGCTCGGAGGTTCACTCGATTCCCGGAAATACGCCCACTTTTGATTATTCCCTTATACCAGTGTATTGATTTAGATCCTTGGTTAGATAAGCCCGTAGTTTTTCGGTCCTTATTACAAAGTGCATATGATTCAACGCAACTCTGTACACAACATAACATGGTTTGTTTAATATTCATGTTTCAAATTGCCGCTTTTGGTTAAGCATGATGGTCTATACTGGCTGCACAAGAAGATTCGGCTAAAGCGTTGGCAGGTTTTTTTGTAACTTGATATGCGAAGCCAGCTTTTGGACGTACCCGAATATATGTGTGTATTACACTTGATCAAGCTCCGGTATACACACCGATGGACTCTTATAAATATATGTGTATACATGTGTATCCCACTCATACTTGACTTGCTGGTCCGCTCATACTCTCTTGGCCGCATATACACGCTTGGCTTTATAAGAATTACCATTAGGCGTATAGTTGTCTCACAAACTACTAATGTGCTGTCGATTGTATGCGCAAGCATATTGCTCGATGATCGACAATGGTTCAGTTTCGAGTTGTCCCTGGATTCCAACTAAATTTCCCGCGATCTCCGCACCCAAAAGTAATAAGTATAGACGTGAAATACAGAGAAACCCTAGACAGACTTCAAAATCGTAGTCTCTTAGCCTATTGGCTTTAAATACAGATAAGGCCTATTTTCTGAATAAAATAATAGCACGACAGATTTTATCGTACAAACCCTAAACCCCTAAAACTTAACCTTTAAAAAACCCTAAATCCTAAATTGATGAGTCATCGCACGTCACGGGAATTTCACGCAATGAACACGTCGAATGTCCTGCACATTGTTTTTTTACATAGAAGGCTATGTGCACATATGTATATATTTATGTGTTTAGCTTAGCCTATGCCCTATAAAGCTTCCAATCAGACATTATTTATGATACTATTTGTATCACAAAAAGAACAAAGGTTAGAGAACACACTGTCGACCATTTTTTTTTATTAACAAAAAAGCCATCCGCGACAGGAAGACTTTCAAAGTTCCATGAATGTAAAACTGTGAACTGACTACTATCTTGACTAGTATAGTTACTTGTAATCAGGTAATTTATTTTGCTTTTGCCAATACCATAAAGTGCAGATCCATAAAGTCAACTCCTGTTGTCGCAATTTAGCCGTACTTTGCCTATTGTGTAACATGGAAGTCTTCTCAAGACTTTCAATTGAAAATACGAAAAAGATGTTTGCTGGCGAGTATGAGTAATCTCAGTGATCGGTCATGCGTATTCCATATACCTTTTATGCTCTATACGTGCACTCACAATCACAATCACATGCATGCACACACGTATATATATT